TAGTTGTCAGTGCAGTTTTATCCTCTGATTCAGCTCGACGCTTACGACATATAAGTGGGTTATGTGGCTCACTATAACCATTCGTAGGGAGTGTGTTGCTTGATGTAGCAATCAGCGACTTAAAATTAGTCGTCAGATTTACAGGGGATTGAGTTCGTTGCTTTTTACTTTGGTTAACCATAATTATTTGATATGAGAGTTATTATTTATAGGTATAGAGGTAGTAGAGTACTCGTGCAAGTATTACAACAAGATAAATTTTATGTAACGAATCACGCAAAAATGTAACGCAAACGTTGGACGTACCGCTACGACTTGTGCTATGACCAAATCCTTATAAGTGGAGATTTCAATGACCCATGCCTCATTTTTGCTCGGTGTATGCTCAGGGAAATTTCAGTTGAAATCTGCTGCAAAGCATGAAAATACAGGACTGACTAAAAATTTCGGAGACGACACTAGGCGGGCCCTCGGAAGAAAGTCATCGAAACTAGATTATACTTTAACTAGTGACCAACTACTTGTTGAAAATGTCTAGATCGAAAAATCCCATGGGACGTAGCGACAACGTAGTCATAGGATTCAGTCCTGATCTCCATAAGCGCTTGCAGTGGGACGCCAAGCGACCATGTTAGTGCTTTAACAAGGCGGACTATGTTGGATTCTGAAGGCCTTATTCTGGCGCAGAATGGCCCATGAACTGAGCTTAGTTATCCGTGGATGAACACTGATAAGTTGTAAAAGAGATCAGTCACACAATAAATTTCAAGTACCTTCAGTTTAGTGACAACACAGCCGAGGAAGAGGTCCTCACGACTGAAGAAAGGAACACAACGTATTCTGCAAGCAAACGGGAGGGCCTGTTAAACGTGGCGAATAACCAAGAGTCAGACCGATCACGATGCATACCTGGAATTCGGGAACCGGCGCAACACAAGAGTCGGGAGTGACAGGAGATTATTTCACGCTCCTGGCGAAACCCAGAAGCTTGTACCGATCCATGTAGAAAAGAAAACCAATCAATCAGGAGGGAAGCGCCTTAGAAGGTCCGAACGGTCAATACCTCACTAGTCTGGAGATGACTGAAACGTTCGGTTTAGCCTCCGCCAAACAGTTAAACAGTGAAGTGTGTAGGGATCAAATAGCGGCACTGCTACCTCACCGGAGGAAAGCCTAGTGGCTACTCTCCAAGAAGCTACGGAGACTCACATCGGCAGAGTCCCTATGTTGTGACGACATCAGGCCGTCTATTCTGAAACAGTTCGCGGAAGCTCACTTTTGGCTTTTAAGCGATATGTTCCAACTATCAATGGATTCAGGTTAACTGCCGAGAGGGTGTAAAAGAGCCATCCAATTTTCAAGGGTGGAGACAGGCATAATGCCACCAGTTAAAGACCAGTGGTACCAAAAGTACCGGAAAGTCTAAATGATGATCACATCAGGGAGCACCTCGATGGGAATAATAGACTCCACTAAGCACAACATGGCTTCAGGAAAGGTAGAGCCTGTGTAGCAAAACTGCTATCAGATTGGGACAATTGGAAATCATAGTGGGACATGAATATTCCATTCCATGTGGTCTTCCTAGACTTTGGGAAGGCATTTGACATAGTACACCATGACCTTGTCGTACACAAAATAAGTCAGGCAGGTATGGGTGAGCCGTTTCTGTTATGGTTGAAGGACTCCATCCTAGGGCCAGTGATGTTTCTGATCCTCATCAATGACCAAACATGCCATTTCAGCTGCCTGACTCCTATTTACGCCAACGGTGTAGATATCTGGAGAGCAATATAGTACCCAGAGGACTCAGATAGACTGCAGACAGACATACAATTTCTGGGAGACTGGGCGGCGGTCAGTGGTATGAATTTCAACCTGAAAAAATGCAAAGTAGTGCATTAACGCAACTGTAGGCTACAGAATGTAAGTTACACTCTGCGCCAAGAAGACGTGTCATGCATAAAGGTAAAGCGTAACTTATGTCTAGTTCTAACGGAGAAAATGGACTCGAGTATGAATTACATGGGGTGTGAAGCGAGGGCATATTTGGTCATACACTTTACACATAGACAGTTAGGTGCACCCACTCCTGAGCCCTTTCTAAGGTTGTACAAAACATACGTCAGACCACACCTTGAAGTGCATATATTATTGCACCCACAATGCTTAGAGGAGACGCCAACCTCTTGGAAAGAGTTCAACGACGGGCAACAAAAGGAGTGGTTAGTCTCCGAAACAAACCATATGATGAATGGCTAAATAAGTTAGGTCTTTTCACACTTAGCCACCGTCGTCTCAGAGGGGACTTGATTACTGCCTTTAAGATAACAAATGACCAGAGTCACCCAAACAGAGGCATTCTGCCATTGAGTAGGTATGGGATTCCTCGAGTGAGTCCACAAAGGATAGCTCAACAGTGGACAGAGACTGAAGTGCACCCCCATTTCTTTTCGCCACGAGTTCACCATCCTTGGAACCCCCTTTCGGCAGGTGTAGCTACGGCACCTCCTGTGAACAGCTTTAAACGAAGCCTGGACAATCATGCGGCGACCCATGGATTGCGTCAAATGGCTTGTTCCTATTAAAATCTGATACGCTGTTAACGGGTAAACATCAGAACTCATCGTTTTAACTCTTCACATTCTCTCTTGTCTCACTCTCCTGATTACTCCAAAATATTAGGTCCCTTGCATTATTAGTCTTATGAAATATGATATACGTGTACATATATATATATGTATATATCAACTTCAAATTTCATCAGCTGTCTATTTTTTGCGTTTTCTTTCTTTTTCTTTTCTAGTCCATATAACTCACACTAATTATCTGTCATTATTATCTCTTTTCTCTTGTCGACTGCCTCGGATGACCAGCTGGTGAAAGGATCAGCCCCATTCACAGTAGCAACACAGACTTAATACACCGAATAAAACAAACAATACATTTTAGAGGCTAAAGGTGTCCACGTTCACGCACAGTGCGAACTAATACCCACAACTTCTGTAGCGTTCGTTCCGCGTAGACCAAAAGAAAAGTAAAACACCAGAATTGATCGTTATATTTCGGAACCAAATCGGAGTGCGAGATGATTGCTTCACTAGCTGGGGATCGTGCACGAACGAACGAACGTAACATGACAGAGTACCAAATGGCGTGGCTGCTTGACCGGAAGCCTTTAGCTAAACAAGTTGACTTATACAGTGAGGGTCAGCATCCAACGTTCAGTGATGAATACTATGGCCAATAATTCTGGGGAATTTCCTACCGCTGCCACATATTTAATCCGAGCACCATTCCTTTTGGAGTCAACCAGAGCTACGACAGTGGAGTGGCAAGACGAACTACCGCTGATCAGAAACCTTTACCTCACAAACACAGAGCGTGCACAAAGGCATCAAATTGGTTAAAAATAGCTCATAGAAGCAATATTGGATGTGACCTTTCTCGACTTTGCGAAACCATTCGATACAGTTCACTATGGTCTGCTCCTTCACAAAATAAGCAAGGCGGGTGTTTCTGGAGCACTTCTCGCATGGCTGAAAGATTACTTAGGCAAGAGAGAATTCTGCACCAAAGTCAACCGCATCCGATCATCCTGGCACACCTTGGCATCAGGGGTTCCTCAGGGTTCTATCTTAAGGCCGTTGATGTTTTTAATTTTTATCAACTACCTGCCCTGTCAACTGAACTACTCGGCGCTTCTTTACGCTGATGACGTAAAGATTTGGAGAGCAATAAACTCATCGGAAGACTCAGACAGATTGCAGGCTGACCTGCAAACTCTGTGAGACTGGGCTCTGGCTAACGGAATTCCTTTCAACCTAGAGAAGTGCAAAGTAGTGCAACTTCATTCCGGCAGGTCACAGAGTGTAAATTACACCCTTGGTGGCCAGAAATTGAGTTGTGTGCCATCAGAACGCGACCTTGGTCTTATTTTAACAGAAAAGATAGACACCAGTGTAAATTACTCGAGGGACGTTGCCAAAGATTACGCAACTTTACACTTTATGTATAGGCAGCTGGGAGCTCTTACTCCCGAACTATTCTTAAGGTTGTATACGACATACGTGAGGCCACTCCTTGAGGTGCATAATATCATTGCTCCTCCGCTACTCAGAAGGGATGCTAACATTCTAGAAAGTGTCCAGAGACGAGCGACAAAATGGGTGATCGGTCTCCGCAACAAATCATATGAGGAAAGACTGAAGAAATTAAGTCTTTTCACACTTAGTTACCGTAGTCACAGGGGAGACCTCATCACCGTCTATAAGATCTTAAATGACCAGGCCCACTCAAATAAAAGCATCCTGCCATTAAGTGATTATAGGCTTCCACGAGGTAACCCGCTAAGGATAGCACACCAGAGACCAAAGACTCAAGTGCGTTCACATTTCTTCTCGCTTCGAGTTTGCCGTCTCAGGAACGCTTTACCGGCGGCCGTGACTACAGCGCCATCTGGGGAGACTTTTAAGCGGAAGCTGGACAATCATGCAGAAATGCATGGTTTGTGTCTCAATGGCTTATCCTCTTAAAGTTTGAAACCACACTGTCAATGGACAGGCATACAAGCTAAATCCCCACGACCCATCCTGTCTTCTCTCACTGTACCGACTACTCTATCTTTTCCTTAGGTCACCTTTATTATTTCACTTATCTCAACCTATATTATCTACACTACAAACTATCGTTATTATTATTGTTATTACCATTCTGCTTTTATGACTACACCGAATGACCAACGGGTGTTAGGTCAAGCTCCATTCACTGCAGCAACTCAGTCCTAACATACTGCACACTACAAACCACATCTTGACCAATCCTCGCACCACTCCTCTTGGAGTCTACCAGAGCTAAAGAAGTCGAGTGGCGGGATTTACTACGCATAAGTTCACCGAAGATCTGAAACCTCTACCTTACAATCAAGAAGCGAGCTCAAAGAAATCACTGGTTTATACTAGCTCGTAATCAGGATATTGGATATTGGACACGTTTTTGCGGAAATCTTGGAGTGTGTGTTACGTTTTCAGGACTCATTGGATGAATAGTTCCAGTTAGTTTTACTTGGTGACGTTATATTAATGCACGCTTTAGCGAAGTTAAAGTACCATATCTATAGCAAAAGACTTGCCAGAAGTTGATATTCATGAACCTATCAGACCTGGGCACCGTGAAACATCATTCCAGACCAAACCATGTCAACCTTTTTTGGATTTGGCCAGGGTAGATACAGTATTCCACTTATTCCCTAGGTGCTGTTTCTATAAATCTCTACTGTTAGGTAGGGTTATGGCTTTTGAGATTAAGGTTCATAGTCAAGGGTCAAGATTAGGGGTTATGCAATGTATTTTGTTTGCAATGATTTTTAATGCATTTCCAACGGTTATGCGGCATTTTTTGCATCTGAATTCCACTTGGTCGCTCAAGGCGACTTTATTTTAGGCTATGATAGTCTCACTTCGACCACGCTCGTTTAACTAAACGAAATTTTGGGGAATTACAGCTCTTATAGTATAGTATACAGATACCCAGTTAGACCCGAAATAGAAAGCTTTGAGGCGATTTCATGTGTTGTAAGGGGGAACTCAACACAAAAGTTCTGGGGAAATGTATCATTTCACTCCTCAGAAAATACCCGGAACCCTTTAAATGTACCCTGAAATACCCATATGTGTACCCCAAAATTTCCCCGAAAGCCGCCAAAGGTGTCCCAAATCTTTTTTTCCAAACAGATGGTAAAAACGTGTGAGTAATGGGCTTAACGGATAGTTAGGAAACAGTCGAATTTTAGTTGTATGACATTGTTTTGAATGAAATTTAACCAACATTTTACCAAAGTGTAGCTAGTATTTTTCATTACTTAGCAACCACTTCTCCATTTTAACCACTCTTTGAGCAGTATTTTCTCATTTTGATCAATATGAAACCATTCTTTGCCCATTTATGACTGCTGATTCGGAAAATATCATATTTTGTACCTGTGTAGATATCGTCACTCCAGGTTTGCGCACAAGCTATAATTTGTATAATGAGTTTTGCTTATCATTCCAGGAGTTCTCAGAGCACAGTATTATCATTTACTCTTTCCAGTCACCGTATCTATTTAGAATCTGCAAAGGCTTTCGGTATATTGCTTTAATCAAGTGTATAATCAGAGTAGTATTAGTCAGAGTGAGAAATATCGTTTTACCAGTGCATGTAGTGGGTGTAGGTATTTTGGTCAGTTGACTCAACTTTTTAAAACAAACTGCGTCATCTCAAAATTTCTCAGTATAGTTATCCCACAACACATGGTAGTTCATGTGATAGTTAACACAAATGGACTTGTCAGAGAGTTATGTTAGGTGGATATTGTAATGTACTATTAACCCGAATTGTCCTTAATTACTTCTAATTATTTTTTCCTATAATTACAGATGTAATGGCTGAAGCATTGCCGTCTGTGTGCATTGTTTTCAGTGGAAAAAGGAAATCCGGCAAAGACTATACAGTTAGCCGATTATCTGAAATATTTGACAACAATGATATCACTTACGCAATCGCACGAATTAGTGAACCGATAAAATCTTATTTTGCCCAACAGTACAGTCTAAATTTACCAGAGTTACTATCATCGAATTCATACAAAGAAAATTACCGGAAGCAAATGATTGATTGGGTGGAAGAAGAAATAAAACGGGATTGTTATGTATTTCCACGTAAAGCTCTTTCTGAATGTATCGGAGAGTGTAAACAAAGAAAATGTGATGTTATTATTGTTTCTGATGCTAGACGTATGAATGATATTGAATTTTTTATTGACACATTTACTCGATCAAAGTGTCTTTTAATACGCATTACATCACCAGTAGAAATCAGGATAAAGCGAGGCTGGTCATATGTTGATGGGGTTGATAATGTTGCATCAGAGTGTGGACTAGATGAATGTACTGACTGGGACTTAGTACTGCAGAATGATGGGAATGAGGTTGCCTATGAGAACTACTTGAACGATATTGTTTCATGTGTAAAGAAGATGTTAAGTGTGTCTCTGTGATGTTTGTTTAGCAATCGATGACAAGTGCTTGATATTCTTGGAAGGGTGAAATCCCAAAGTGAGTGTTTGACTGCCGAATCATGTGATTTAATGGATAGACGAGACGGTGGAATTTAGGAAGCAGTTATTGAAAGTATTTTGTATGACATGAAACTTGTCCAATTGTTATTGGAAGGTTTTCAATATTATATGATAACTTGTGTGATCTTGTGTTTGTCTACATAACCGCAAAACATTTAGGAGTTAACAAAGAAGTATAAAAGCCATTCACGTATATGTTATTTTGTCAGAGGTGGAGTTATTGTCTAGAAATCGTAAGGAGTACAGACCTGTAATAGACTCCATGGAGGACAGGGATTCAAGTCGATGGGCTGAAATTTTAAAATTAACTATACTGCTGTGAAATGTTTTTTCTATTGAAAGCATATTCTTTTGTACGTCTGGAAGATTTCTTATGTTTGCTTGTTTATAGTATGCTTTCTTGAAAGTTCTTGTCAATGGTAAAATTTTCACTTTGACCACTGGAACTTACGGAGCACCATTGTCGATTTTAAAGCTGTAATTGTTCCACATTTCATTGTCAACTTTAATTTGAATTCCTGTAATAAATTTGTATATAAGTTGTACAGTAGTTATTGAGCGCTGATAAGTTGATTTTTCAAAAAGAAAGCTAGCTAGTTTGAATTTATGGAAGCGTGTCTTTCAACTACTGCAGTACCTCTTCACTAACTGACTTGAGTGTCTACAAGGATGCCTTTTGGCAGATGTACATGTTGTTAATTGCGCTGGTTAGTAACTTGAAAGTTTTCGCCACTGCGTGGGATCATCATGACTAAACGTAAAATATTGCTGAAGTAAAGACTAAAAATGTTTATTGTTATAATTGTAGTTATATAAAAGAAGAGGCATTCAGTGGAGTTACTCTTTACAGCAGCATCATACTCAAGTTGTACAACTGCATTCATATGCATATGTATATAGTACGTTTCTCCTTTAGGTTGTGATACTGAAGGATTGTTAGGCTTGTCAACCAAAGTTATTGAGAGCAGTCTTGTGTTTCGAGTGACTGTCATTTACTAGGTAATATTCTAGAATAGGTTGAAATAAAGTATTATAAACCGCAAAATACTGCTGAAAAATGAAGGGAATTTCATTTTCAAGATCAGAAGGGATGCAGTATGGTATTTGAAAGTGTTTTAGACGAAGTAGAAAGCAGAAAACTTCATTTCAGTCTTGAAAATGACAACATTTGCCAAGATGATTCATAGGTTGTCTTATCGAGGACTAATTTTAAGTTTAAGTCGTGTTAATGTCACTAGCATAAGTGATTTATAAAAGACTGAGCTTGGTTGGCCCAAGTTCTTTGTTTCGAATGACCTTAATATGTTCACATCATATCTGGTACTAAGTTATTATGTATGGTACTGCTTCAAACATGTAAACCTTGCATATTTCAAATAGCTTTCGCAAATGTCAACAGGCGAATTTGTCGAATAGGGCAAGAACAACAAAAGTGTAGCAGGCTACTACTATGAGATGCATCAACAAGAGGATGCTTTCTCTAAACTTGGATAGATATAAGTTACAATCAAGTAGTGATTATAACACTGTCCAGTGGCATATGAAAGATTTTCTGAGAGGAGAAACTGGAAGGGCAGTTATTCGATCCAGTGAACACTTGCATGTTAAAGGTTATCCGTAGAAGTTTGTCGAAAAAGATGGAAAATCTGGTGTGTTAAAGGTTGGATTGCAGCGTAGTGATGAAGAAAACTGTCCATCTGTAGTTTGTCCTCATGAGTGAGTATATTATCAGTAGGAAAATATGCAGACTTAATCCTTCACTAAAGGGAGTCTACCCAGTTACCAGACTCGTCTGTTTGTACCAAACGAATTGTTGTTTATGACAATGGAAAGTGGTCAGATTTCCATCTCATGTTCTCTTCAAGTGTATCAGTAGGATTTACATGTTTGTGCAAAAGCATATACATTGGAAGAATATAGGAAAGACTTATTGTTAGTATTTCTCAACTCTGTCTGAAGAACTTGCTAGTAAAGGATTTACAGGTATTAGTTAGTGAGATCGCATACCAACTTCAAGGCATTGGTCATCTTGTCGCGAGCCTGAAGGCGTTAGAAATAATCGGTAGGCGAGAGAAATCTAGCCTTCTATGTTTTGTTGAGGTAGTCTTCATCCTATGGTTGGAACCATATCTGTACATGGACAAGCAGAGATAGTTGTACAGTCATTTAATGACATTTAACATCCTGTATATTCTGTTCTGAATCAAATCTATTAGTTTTCATCTGAAAGTTACTCAACTTACTCTTCCTGCTTATGTGAAACATTTCTCGTTGTTGCACTTAACCTATTGAACTTCGTTTCTTACCCATCTTGGAGCCGCTGCCTTATTTTCTGGTCAACAGCATTTATTCAATTATTCTACAAATATACAGTTAATTCTTTAAACACCTCATTATTTAGCTACTTATGTCATCATTGCAGACTTCTGTTACTTACACTTCATTTCAGTAGTCTGTTGTCAATATGATGAATGTGTATTAAAGACCTTCATTTGAAAATAACAATAAAAATGACATTCTGGTATTGTTTAGGTTGTAATAAAAGTGAGCTGCTATTTTACTGCCACATTTTTTGTTCTTTCTTTCTTCAAGTATTTCATTGGGAAGAACTGTATGCTGTTTCTTAAGCACACCCCCCCTGATGACTAAATATGGCTTGAGGAGTGAAGCTGAGGCGGTTAAGCACATTTTCGGGCTGTTTCAATAATTACCTGGTTTGTTTCACTCCGACCATTCTAGTGGTCCGTTGGTGGCTGAATGGTACAATGCTCACCAGCCACACGGGAGGCTCGGATTCGACTACTGGCTGATATACTATTATAGCTCATGTAGTTTATTAGCCCATAATAATCTCGAAGAAGGGGAAACTTTGGGTGGCATGGGGTGGGTGGTGGGACGTAAAACTAACACCATTAAGGATAAATCCCTGGTCAACAAACAAGCCAAGTAGCATATGATATATATGAGAACAAAGTTTCTCTCAGGAATGAACAAGTAAATCTGTCATAAGAGAGGTGTTGAGTCTTTGTTAACTGCCTAACCAGACACAATAAAATACAGTGAGTAGGACTCATAAGATCGAAAAGTCAAAAGTCGGCATATGGGAAGTCGAATGGAAAGATGATGATGTAATATAGTGAGTAGAATTCATAGGACTAAAAACTAAGTCTGATATGAGCGTCAAACTGTAAAATGAAGGAAGCGTAAGCGAGGCGATTGGGAAACAAGGAGTTGCTATGGTGAAAGCTGCCAGACTGATTGAAGTCCTACAACAGATTCCCTTTGAAAACATAAATCAGGTTTCAACCATCTTATTGAGATATCCTCAACAAATCGAGGAAGAATTGAGCTATTATTTCCTATCAATTAATTCAATGCTTACAATGCATATACTTGATATCCTGAGTTTATCAGATGTTTGGCGATTGACGAGTTCTTTGATTGGACACTAATTAAGGGGTGCCATTTGTTTAGTCCTTTGTTCGTCTTTTGTGCAGACTGAATTCTATCAGTCAAGTTTGCAATGTGGCCACCATACAGATACGCCTTGTAGACTAGTGCCAACTAGAACGAAACCCAGGTCCAGAGCTTCCTGCCGATTGTCTCCAACCATCTAATTGACGAGTTGAATAACCCAAGCACATACAAAGCATGACTCAGATCATTTCATACAATGAGTGCATCGTCTCCCAATCTATAGTAGGTTATTGTTTCACTGGTTGTACATTTCAGTTTTGTCCATTCATATATAGAGGATATTCTAAAACTGACTTTTGGTAGACGGATGAGATGAGCGTGTTGACAGATGATGTCTAAAGTTTGGTGGAAGTAGGCTGTATGAATAGGGAGGTGACATCGAATTTGTGACTACGAATGTGTGTAGCACACATCAAGCTGGCTCAACTTCCCAACGAACCGGGACGAGTCCTCCAGAGTATGTTTATCCAGCCTATATCGAACGGGTTCCATCTTCTCAGCTGGAAGGCATCAGTAAGAGAAAAATTGAAAGCAAAGGAGTGCTGGACAACTGCTTTGCGCTTTACTTTGACGTAATCAGGGGTCTTTAGCTGAACAGCTTAACATATAAACCAATGTGAATTTCCAGGGATCTATCAATCAATTTGTGTGAAATACGTCATAGATATGTCTGGATGTCACAACAGTAATCTGCTTCTTACGTATTTCTGACTCACCTTGTCAGTGATTTCAAATATAATAGGAGCAGTATGTTGGTCAACGTACATCGGTGGTTCGATGTTTGAATGTCCGCCAAACATGTACATGGTCCAGGTTCGATTCACGGCCAACACATGCCTTAACCTCATTCAGCCGACAGTTAGCAAGATGAAGAGAGTGACGTCACTGCTACTGAAACCTCAACGATGAAGCTTGAATTTCATAGTGAAATTGACACCGACGTAGCAGGTAAAATTAGGATAAGTGGAGAAGAAGAGTGCAAAGCTAAATTGTCTACCTGCGTAAGCAATACCTTCCTTCTCGATACATTGATGAAGATAAGGCTACTCTGTTTAGGGACCAGTATGTGAATGTATTTCAAACAACATATCAACTCATGTTCATAGCGTTTGGAAAATAGTGTCAGATAAATGTGTAAATATAACACACCTGGATGGTTTATATTTCAGAAGATGCCATAGGTTATATTCAGAAAAGTTGTATGTTTGCAGGTATTCATCTTCGATAACTCTCGTTTCTGATTGTGTGATGACACACTGATGAATATTTTCAATGAAATGGCCAGTAAAATATATGAAAGAAATTTCGGTGAGCATCGTGTATACTGGGAGAATGAGTATGAGTAAGTAAACCTCACTGTGAAGTAATAATCGGGGAAGTATTTTCGATGAAATGAGCTGGGAGAGTATGGAAAGATGGTGTGATGGATGATAGATCGACGGAGAGGGAGAGAGAGAGCGGAAGAAGGGTATTGGGAATTATGCAAGTCGAATATGTTTCAATGTGAATTAACTACATAGCACTGGAAGATTGCCTTAAGGCCTGAATTCAACAGTCTGTCATCCTGTGTTGAGGTCTGTTGATTACATCAGGTGTATATATGCTAGAGAACTATAAAGAAATACATCCAGTTAGATTACTTGTTGTCGGACTTCATATGGATTTTGCTGTCGAATGCAGCCCTGGAGTAGATTCCAATTCAGGAGACTGAATTTTATCCCAACGTAAAGGACGTTGATCAATGATTCCAGTGTGAACTTGATAGAATGGTGTCATCATCACTTCTATGACAGCTTTCTTGTCACACATGATGAAAGTATTATCCATGTATCTTTTCCAAATAGGGAAATTTCATAACCCTACAATGCTACTGTCATCTACTTTATTGAACCCATCACCGAAATGGTACTCACCATCAATCCATTGAATCGGATGCCAGTGAATGTCTGGTTTACGAGCTCTCCTTGTAACCGTAAGGTGCTGGATAGGAAACCAATCAGCTGCGCATTGCTGAATAGTTTCAAACTGGGGAGAAACTCCTGTGAGTATCCACAGGTATTCAAGTGGTTCTCTAACTGATGTCCACTC